ACTGTGTATGTAATTGTGTCAGTATATGTGTCATGTGTGTCATTTTGTGTGTTATTGTACGTGTGTGAGTGTTCTCTGTGTGTGTGCCTTGTGTGTGCATTGTCTTGTGGAGGAATTTGCTGTATTTCCTTGGAAGTTCTAGTAGAAATATTTTTCTTAGTGGAGGATTTGTTTTTTGTTTTGTGAGTTATGAGTCATTTGTTTTTTTGTTGAAGAGGATTTTTGGTTTTTGTTTGGATTTTTTGTGGTCTTTTGGTTTGGTTTGGTCTTGGGTATGTGGTTTGTTATTTTGGTCGTTGTCTTGATATTATTGTTTATATGGTTGTGAAAGAAGTCTGGTATTTTTCATCTTGAGTTTACCTGGCTGTGTGGTGTCTCGATATAAGCTTACGATATGTTCCCGGGTGTTTCGTCTTGGGACATTTTGTTAATAAATACGCTCTCTCGAACATATGTCTATTGTAGATCCGGTTGTTTGTATAAAATAATTGCCTATTCCTTGTCTCTGAAATAGTGAATTGCTGTGGTAATCTCCCTACTGGTTCATGCACATGTAATGTGTCTTGTAGGCCTGGTGCAGAATATCTAACTGTTGACCTGAGTTGTATTGCCCTAATATAATCTATGATATGCTTGTAAAGTACATTGATCGTTCATTTTCTGTTTGCTGTTCCACCACTTGCTCTAATCTAGCTTTTGTCACTGGCTTTATATAGGAATTTGTTTTGTGTCTTAGGTTCTTGGCTGTGGTTCATACACAGTTACACACACAAGACACAGGCACACACAGAAACACACACTGAGACACATATACAATGACACACACAATTACACACAATGACACACAGACAAAATGACACAATGACACAACACCAATGACACACAATGACACACACACCACACAATGACACACAATGACACACACAAGACACAGTGACACACACAAGACAATGACACACAATGACACACAAGACACACAGACACACAGAGACACACATACATGTACAATGACATCCACACAATGACACCCACACAAGACACACAAACACATACTGACACAATGACACAACACAATGACACAAGACACACACAGATACACACACTGACACACATACAATGACATACACACAATGACACACACACAAGACACACAGAGACACACTGACACACACACATGTACAATGACACGCACATGACATGCAGTGACACACAATGACACACAATGACACATACACAATGACACACATGAGACACACAATGACAAGACACAGTGACACACAGGCAATGACACACACAGACACTAACATGCACAGATACATGTACACAGTAGCACATGCAGACACACATACACACAGTGACACACACACCAACACACTGACATAGACCCAGATACACATGCACACACTACCATACGCAGACACTAACACATTCTGACAGATCCTCACATATGTGGCACATACATGAACACACACACACTAACCACACACAGACACGCACACTGCCACACACACTGGCAGAGCCTCATGTGCACCGGGCTGGGTGACAAGCCACCCTGTGGTCCTTTGCTCCTTAACCCCAGGCAGACCACCCGCTGCCCCAGTGCCTCCTGCCCTGTCACTCGAGGAAAGTTTCTGCTCTGGAAAGGCCTCCAGCCACTTGCCTCTCGCCTCTGCCCCCGGTGGGGACCTTGCAGCCTGATGCTCTGGAAAGACATGGGTAGAAGAAGTCCCATGGCAGCCTGGCTCTGCGTGGGCCTTAGGGAAGGACTTGGCCCCTGGGGCTGTCGGCTTTCTCGTGTGTGAGATGGGAACTGTGGTGTATGGGGTGGTCCCTAACCAGCCACCATGAGAGCTCCTGGACTGAGGCTGCATGCCGGGTGTCCCTTGTGTTTGCAGAGTACAGCATCTCGGCAGCCGCCATCGCCATCTTCAGCCTTGGCTTCGTCATCCTGGGCAGCCTCTGTGTCCTCCTGTCCTTCGGGAAGAAGAGGGACTACCTGCTGCGGCCCGCGTCCATGTTCTACGCTTTTGCAGGTAGACTGGGGGCTCCGCCCGAGCACCGGACTGGGGGGACTATGTCGTGGGGGATTCTCCGCTCCACTCTCATGCCCACCGTGGGATTTGGGTGGGGGGCATTTCCCAGGCTCCATCCCCATCCAGGGGCAAACCTGGCCAGGCCCTCAGCGACCCCAGGTGGGCTGGAGGGAGACAGAGCTTGGTGGTCTGTCCATTCCTCCCCATGACTCAATCCTCAAGGCCCCAAAGAAACGGCCCAGAGAATGATTAACAGAAGAAGGAAAGAAACGTGGTCGCCTTTCTTTCTTTTTCTTGGGGGATGAGGAAGAGGGTCTCGCTCTGTCGCCCAGGCTGGAGTGCAGTGGAACGATCGCAGCTCACTGCAGCCTCGAACTCCTGAGTTGAAGGGTTCCTCCTGCCTCAGCCTCCTGAGTACCTGGGACTACAGACGTGCACCACCACACCTGGCTAAGTTTTTATTACATTTTAATTTTTTGTAGAGACAGAGGGCTCATCACTATGTTGCCCAGGCTGGTCTCAAACTCCTGGCCTCAAGCGATCCTCCTGCCTCAGCCTCCCAAAGTGCTGAGATTACAGGCATGAGCCACCGTACCCGGCCATGTGGTCGTCCTTCTAAGGGATGCAGGAATAGGGTGGTGCGTGGACAAATGGATCCCTCTGCAGGCTCCCAGCTAGAACCTGCCTTGAGGCAGCTTTTCCCCCAAGGCAAGGTCACTGCCTCCTCCATGCACACAGGCTGGGCTGGGGCTGGGGGTAACGGCAGGCACCCGTCGGTCCCTGAGCGTACCTGGCTCTGCCCCCAGGTCTCTGCATCCTGGTCTCGGTAGAGGTCATGCGGCAGTCGGTGAAGCGCATGATTGACAGTGAGGACACCGTCTGGATCGAGTACTATTACTCCTGGTCCTTCGCCTGCGCCTGTGCTGCCTTCGTCCTCCTCTTCCTTGGTGGTCTCGCCCTCCTGCTGTTCTCCCTGCCTCGAATGCCTCGGAACCCATGGGAGTCCTGCATGGATGCTGAGCCTGAGCACTAGCCCTCCTGTGGCCCTAGCAACCCTCAGGCTGCTTCTCCAGGAAGCCAGGTCTCAGCCTGGAACCTTCCAGAGGGGAGGCGGGAGCAATTTTAGCTCCACCCTGCTCCCATCTGCCCACTGCCACAGTCGCAGGCTGCCTCCTCTCTCTGAGCTCCTCTGGGCTGCCACAGGCTTCCCTGGGAATAGAGCAAGAGGATGTCAGTCTCAATCTGGCCACAGTTGGGAAAGGCAGGGCCAGCAGGTGGACAGGTGTTTGCAAGGGCCACACTTCCCCTGGAGCTCAGAGGTGTCCCCACTGTACCAGCCTCTGATAAGCTGTCTCCAGTTGTCCTTTATGAACATTGCAGGGACAACCTGTGTTTGCCAGTTCTTGGTGTTCCGTGTAAATAGCCAGCCCCTCCCTTTCTCAGTGATAAAACACACCCTCTCTGGTGAGCGCAGCGTCCCCTCCTTGGCTTCCAGGAGCCCTGGGAAGCATTTTTAACTGAGTAGAATCTGTCTGTGCCTTGAAATAAAAAGCTCTCAGAAAACTCACGTTTTCCTCGCGCCTTGCATAGAAATTGCTCAGATTCCTGGTCACATCAGGGGCCCCCTGACGCCGAATGAGAAGGGAAGGCAGGTCACCCGGGTACGTTGAGGACTTTTGTGGGGACAAGAGGGCAACACACGTGGCTTAGAGGCTCTGAATTCCAACTCAGACAGGGTTTCTCTAGGCCCTGAGATTGTTTTCGGGAGAAACTAGAAACCTTCTGATGAAGCAAGGGTGTTAAAAATAGGAGGGGTTATTTCTAGAGCCTGGCATGCAACGCACCTGGTGCCAACGCAGCGCTAAAGCAGCCAGCCAGTGTCTGATTTCTGATGCTGGATTTCTGTTGTGAAGAACATCAGGAAGCAGGGCTTAGCAGTTAGACGCTTAGGGCCACATGAAGAGCCATGATTTGCACACTTCTGCCTTCCAGAGCCCCACAGTACTTGCCCAAGCTTCCGAAGTGGAGTTCAGACATGATTGGCAGATGGGATCTTTGCCTTGCACCCTGGAGAACCCACTGGAGTTCATGCTCCTAGGGCAGGGTTTGGCAAACTGTGGCCCGTTGGCCACACCTGGCCTGCCCCCTCTTGCTGTATGGCCCACAAGTAAAAGGTAGTTTTTACAGTTTTAAATTGTTCAAAACATTAAATTAAAAAAAAAAAAAAAAAAAGCCAGGCTCGGTGGCTCACACCTGTAAATCCCAACACTTTGGGAGGCCAAGGTGGGTGGATCACGAGGTCAGGAGTTCAAGACCAGCCTGGCCAAGATGATGAAACCCCATCTCTATTAAAAACACAAAAAATTAGCCAGGCGTGGTGGTGCGCACCTGTAATCCCAGCTACTCAGCAGGCTGAGGCAGGAGAATCGCTTGAACCCGGGGGGGCAGAGGTTGCAGTGAGCCAAGATTACGCCATTGCACTCCAGCCTGGGCAACAGAGTGAGACTCCATCTCAAAACATTTAAAAAAAAAAAAACCCCAAAACAATCAAGGAACTGGGCATCGTGGCTCACACCTGTAATCTCAGTACTTTGGAAGGCTGAGGCAAGAGGACTGTTTGAGTCCAGGAGTTTGAGACCACCCTGGGCAACATAGCAAGACTCCATCTCTACAAAAAATAAAAATAAAATAATTTAAAGATAAAAAGAAGAAGAATCTCTCATGACATATGAAGATGATACGAAATTCACATCTCAATGTCTGTAAATAAAGTTAGATTAGAACCCAGCCACACCCATTCTGTGGCTGCTTTCGTCACCATTGAGTAGTTTCAACAGAGATCTTCTGTCCCGCAATGCTGAAAATATTTACTATCTGACCCTGTATAAAAACGTGTGTTTACCCTTGTTCTGGAGAAAAACTGTACAAACATCAGGCCACATATCAAACCCTTGCTAGTCCCATCTGAAAGCTGAGGGGAAGTTCATTCTTTCAATTTGCCTGCGGTACCTCGGGGGTGGGGGGCTGGGCTAGGAGGGGTGTCAGAGGAGACTCACTCAAAGATGCAAAGATCCAGCCAGGAAATAAACTTGCTCCAGGTAAAGGAGAATCAGAAGATGACAGTCCCGGCCAGCCAGGGAGCTGAGGCCACAATTTATGAGTAAGAAGGAAGAGAGATAACTTCCTCCCATTGATAACCATTCTGGAGGTTGATATTATCGGGTTTTTTCTTTTTTGAGACAGGGTCTCACTCTGGAGTACAGTGCCCAGGCTGGAGTACAGTGGCACAATCACAGCTCACTGTAGCCTCGAGTTCCTAGGCTCAAGTGATCCTCCTACCTCAGCCTCCCAAGTAGTGGGGACTGCAGGCGTGCGCCACCACACCCAGCTAATTTTTTTCATTTTTTGTTGAGACAGGGTTTCAATATGTTGCCCAGGCTGGTCTCTAACTCCTCAGCTCAAGCAATCCACTAGCCTTGGCCTCCCAAAGTGCTGACATTACAGGCATGAGGCCACCACACCCAGCCTGCTTTTTTTTTTTTCCTAACAGATTGGAGTCTTGCTACACTGCCCAGGCTGGCCTCAAACTTCTGGGCTCCAGCAGTCCTCCTGCTTCAGTCTCTGGAGTAGCTGGGATTACAGGTGTGAGCCACTATGCCTGGCTCCCATATTATTGTTTTATTACTATTTTTACTTTTAGCAGAATCAGACTGGCGTGCCTTTTTTCTTTTCTTTTCTTTTCTTTTCAGTTCTCTTCTCTTTTTTCTCTTCTTTTCTCTTTTCTCTTCTCTATTTTCTCTCTCTTCTCCCTTCTCTTCTCTTCTCTTCTCTTTTCTTTTCGATGGAGTCTTGCTCTGTCACCCAGGCTGGAGTGCAGTGGTGCGATCTCAGCTCACCGCAACCTCCACCTCCCAGGTTCAAGCCATGCTCCTGCCTTAGCCTCCCAAGTAGCTGGGATTACAGGTGCCTGACACCACACCCAGCTAATTTTTGTATTTTTGGTAGAGACGGGGTTTCACCATGTTGGCCAGGATGGTCTCAAACTCCTGACCTCAGGTGATCTGCCCACCTCGGCCTCCCAGAGTGGTGGGATTACAGGTGTGAGCCACCGTGCCCAGGGCCTTGGCATGCGTTTTCTACTTCCTCATGGGTGCCTATGGGTTGGTGCCCCCAAAAGACATCTGAATGGAATATCCACCAAACAGAATACATTCGGCTTCCCAGGCTTTTAACTCTTTTAAGATATACTTCAGCACAGCCAGAACTGCAATGCAAACCAAAGGGTTGGAGGCTGTCTGCCAGAGAGCCACACATCCTGGCATCTGCCCCAGAAAGAGACAATGGAGCAAAGCAAAATAGAGTCAACCAAACCAATGAGGGAAAACGTCTTACTCCCCACCTGCCAAATGCTGCTTGCCAGAAGGATGTCCAGAGGGGAAAATGGTCGGCTTTGCCAGGGACTGAAGGCCTCACTTCAGGGTCCGTGCAGGTCCTGCTCTGAAGGCCACCCACAGCCCAACCACAGAACAACAGTGCTAACCGCCCGTCTTACTAAGAAGTAAAACATTAGCCCTGGCGCGTGGTGGCGGTGCTGTAACCCAGCTGCTCAGTGAGGCTGGAGGCAGGAGGAATCACTTTGAATCAGACGGAGGCGGAGTTTGGTCAGGTGAGCTGGAGATTAGTGCCTACTGCCAACTAACCAGCCTGGCGACAGCGATGACCTCCATCAAAAATAGATGAATGAAGAAAGAGAGAGAGAGAGAGAATAGAAGGAAGTTGAAGGATAGGAAGGTAAGGAAGCTGATAGGAAGAAGAACGGAAGTGAAGGTATAGTGAGGGAATAGCAGATAAGAATAGAAGAGTAGAGGGTAAGTGGAGGAGTGAAGGAAGGCAGCCAAGAGAGGGACGCGAAAGAATCAGAAGGAAGGAGGAGGGTAGGAGGGAGGGAGGAGGAAAGGAAAGGAGGAAGAAGGAAAGAAAGAAAAGAAAAAGAAAGGAAAGAAGAAAGAAAAAGAGAGATAAGAGAGAAAGAGAAGGAAGAGAAAGGAAAGGAAGAAGAAGGAAGGCAAGGAAGGAAGTAGCAGGAGGAAGGAGGAGGAAAGGAAGGAAGGAAGGAAGGAAGAAAGAAAGAAAGAAAGAAAGAAGAAAGAAAGAGAAGAAAGAAAGCAGAAGAGAGAAAGAGAAAAGAAAAGAAAGAAAGAAAGAAAAGAAAGAAAGAAAGAAAGAAAGAAAGAACAGAAGAAAAGAAAGAAAGAAAAGAAAGAAGAAAGAAAGAAAGTGCAGTCCACGCAGTTCCAAGCAAGGAGTGAGAAGCCATGGGCTTCTGAGGCAAACCATAGGCTTCCAGGGCAGATGCGACTGC